TAGCCTCTTTTGACACAAATTTAATAACATCTCTTATTCCTGGGACGCCTGGGTGGCTCAGTCAGTTAAGCATCTGCTTTCAGCTCAGGTCATGATCCCAGGGTCCTGGCATTGAGTCCTGCATTGGGCTCCTTGCTCAGCAGGGAGCCTGCTTCTCCCTCTGCCTGCAGCTCCCCCTGCCTCGCGCTCTCTCTCTCTCTCTGATGAATAAATAAATAAAATCTTTAAAAAAAAAAAATAACATCTCTTATTCCTAAAAAATTATCAGATTGAACTACCTTTGTATCAGTTTGAAAAAAAGGCTATATCCCCAGAAAGAAGTGGACTACAAGAAAAGGAGGTCAAATAGTGAAGCCCAAGATTTTCTAAATTCTTAATGAATCTGGTCTGTACAATATAATTTAAATATTTTTATCGAAAATACATTTCCAGAAAGTCTAACACATACACCTATACATGCACGAACTTGGTAAGTATAAAGCAAAAATAGAGACTTATGAGTTATTTCCCAGTTTGAGTTATCCATATTTTTACTTGCCCTTTCTCTATTTACAAGGACTCCAAAAACTGATTATGTAAACTATTTCCTTAAAAAAATTTACCCAAAATATCTGCTTTAAGTTAATGTATTTTAAGACTGAAGTTAGTTTCCTGCTGTAGCTACAACAAAGAATATTTAAAATTTAGAATGTTCCTTTCTAGTACACTTATAGACTAAGATGAAGTAGGTGCATATCTCCCTATTTTCTCAAAAAGTACAGCTAAAACACCTAGACACTGTATTTAAAACAAATGTAAGATGATTCTAGAAGGTGGCAAGAAGAGAGATCTAGGGAGAGACCTGGGACAAAAGAGAATGATACATTATTCCGTTCTGTGAGTTTTCTTTTAGCCTCATACATCCCAAGCTGGGTAATGAAATGGCCAGCAACCAGGAAATACCAGTGGGCACAAACAACAACCCCAAGAAAAGCCCTTCCTCTCTAGCCAAAGGACCATGGTAGGGGCAACTCAGCAGAACAAAAAACTTGTAGGTAATAAATGGCCTGATGACAGCCGAACCCACGGAAAAAAAATATGACCCCACAACCATCTCTGTGAGCCACGGCCAAAGTGCTAAGCCCAGACTTCCACCTTGACCAGCTGTGGGGAGGTTTCCCATCCCACCCCCACTGCCCTCTAGGTGATAGCAGAGAAAACCAAGTTGGGAGGCATTTTTTGAACTTGAATCCCCATCCAGACATAAGGAGGCTCTCTCTCCCTCCTTTCCTGTGTCAGAAAAAGCTGAGTGGGGAGTCAGAACTTTTATAACCGTTTAAGAGGTAACAAGGCTTCCCGTCCCACACTCCTCCTACCAAGCAGGGTGGTATCAACCAAGGCTGATGGGGGGCTTGAAATCCCACTTTTTCCCAAGATTAAAAGGCACCCTTTTGACCCAGAATGTCAAAGGCAGCTAAGTAGGAAACCTGCACCTGACAATGACAAAGTGGCGTCTACCTTCCCCTAACTGTGCAGTGTCAAGAGACCCGTTAAAATACCAGATTTAATTAAGATCCAAGGAGTCATATGAAATACCCAAAATGCATAGGATATAATTAAAACCACTCATCACACCAAGAATCAGGAAAACCTCAACTTGAATAAGAAAAGACCATGAACAGAGAACAATAAGCTGACACCAATGTTAAGATTATTTGACAAGGATTTTAAGGCAACCATCATAAAATTGCTTAAATAAGTAATTATGAACATGATTGAAACATGAGGAAAAAAAGAAAGTTTCAGCAAAGATACAGAAGATATAAAGAACCAAACAGAGGGTGCCTGGGTGGCTCAGTTGGTTAAGCGCCTACCTTCAGCTCAGGTCATGATCCCAGGGTCCTGGGATCGAGTCCCACATCGGGCTCCCTGCTCAGGGGGAGTCTGCTTCTCCCTCTGTCCCTCCCCACTGGTCCTACTCATTCTTTCTCCCTCTCTCTCGCGCGCAAAAATAAATAAAATCTTAAAGAAAAAAAAAAGAACCAAATAGAAATTTTAAAACTGAAAAATACAAAACTAATAGCGAAGAACTGACTCAAAAGCAGAATCGGTAAACTACAAGATAGAACAATAAAAATTATTCAAACTGAACAACAGGAAGAAAACAGACTGCAGAAATAATGTACAGAACAAGTACCTACAGAACTATAACAACAACAACAAAAAGCTTTGCTAAATAGCATGCTTGCCTTTTAGTTCAGTTTGGCTATGAGACCTCCCAGTACTTTTTCCTATCAGTTATCTGGCCAAGGTGATAAGATACTCCATAAGTCAGTTTACCCTTTTATTCACGTGGTATAAAAAGGAGAGAGACCCTTCTTGGTGTGGAAGTAAAATCATCTGAAAAAAGTTTTCTTTGGAAGTACTGCTTCCTATAAAAAGTCTTTTTAAATTGAATATGAGTTTTGAAGACTCAATTTGTTACTCTTATCACGTTAACAGTAAAAGCAGTACAACAACCATGATAATGCCACTTGGGATTTATATTGGTCTTTATTGTGAAAAGCTCAAAGTGTATGTGAGGTCTTAGGTGGTATCTCAAGTATGTTACTGTTCTCATTAATAGACTGAGAAACTGAAACTGAATTTGCAAAGGTGTATGTCTCACTAAAGGGCCCAGAATAAGTCACTCATTATAGGCAGAAAAAAATATATAAAGTACTCTCATTATTCAGTACTGCATCTTCCAATAAACACTATAATTCCAAATATGGGGCTGGTAAGTGTGGCTGTACACAACATAATTAGCCCTTGGGGAACAGGCTGCATTGTATTAGTGAATTCATTCATTCATTCAAGAATATTAAGTGGGCCCATACTATATGCCAGATATGACTCTAGGCACTAGGAAAGAAAGTTCCTAACTTCATAAAAAATTACATTCTGGTGGGAGAAAACAAAACATAACCAAATTAAAACAAAATAACAGGTGAAAAAAAATGCTATGAGGAGGAGGGAAAAAGCAAGGAAAGGTAGCTAGGAAATGCTAAGCATTTACACAGTGTCTTCTTTTCTATTGCATGGTCAAGGAAAGCATCCACAAGAAGGTAGCATTTGAGCAGGTATTTGAAGGAAGCTAGGGTTCAGTGAGAGTTATTAAAAGTATAATATTCAAAAAGTTAAAATGGGACTCATGTAAATATAAATTGAACATACGCCAAAGATTTATTCTACTCACTTATTAATAAATGAATGTTAAGACTGATTCAAAGAGCATTTGAAGATATGTATATATCTTTTATATATATATATATATAATTTAAATAATGGTGTGTTAGACTAAGAGTGCTAGGTTGGAGACAAAACTGGCCAATGTCCTACAGGTCAATAAAGAGTATTTTTGAAGTTATCTTTTCTAATAGAAATGACTTAACGTTCTTCTGGGAAAAAATTAATTAACATGTAATGTCAATATATCTGAGACTTACAATCGATAGTAAACAGCAAGTCAAATAAAGTACATTCTCCTAAATAATCCGAAGTCTATTAAACAATATCCCCATAAGACACTGAAAGAACACAGCTCACCCTCTCCCTTATTTTCAAGTTTCTCTTTTTTCTTTTTTTTTTTTTTTTCGACAAAGCTTTGCAGATAGGAGAGCATTCCAGTCAGAGACACTGTGAATGAATCACAAAATATTTCCCTCCACTCACCACTCCGACAGCCAAGAAATGCCCTCCCCAACACAGACTCACACATTCACCTGAATCTTATTAAGTAAGAAGTTTGGTGTAAGTAAATAGCTGGAAAAATTGGAGAAGCCAGAAGATTTACATTGGAAGGAGACTGAGAATTGAGGTCGGGAAATGATTTGATTTACATTTTTAAAAACATTACCTGCTGAAATAAAAACTCATTAGGGAGAAGAACAAGGGTAGAGGCTAGAAGACCACTTAGGAGACCATTAAAACGGTCTAGGCAAATAAACAAGTAAATATATAGTTTGTCAGATGTACAAAGTGCTATGGAGAAAAACAAAACAGAATTTGGGAAGGTTGACAGGGGTGTCAGCATTGTCTGGAAAGGTCTTCTCTGATAAGGTGATATTTGCACAGGGATCTGAATGATATAAAAAAGGAAACCATGAAGAAAACTGAGGGAAGAGTGTTCCAGACATGGGGATAAGGCACAATGACTGAGGAGAGAGTCAGGGAAAAGATGGGGAGAGGGGATAAAAGAGAATGCAGTGCCTTGCAAACCACTTTAAGGACTTACTTGGCTTTTAATTGGGGTGAGATGAGAAGCCATGAAGGTTTCAGAGCAGAGAAAGGACACGATCAGCTTTATTAAGTATTAGATTACAGTGGCTGCAATGTGGAGAATGGTCTATAAGTGGGCAATGACAGAAGCAAAAAGATTAGTTAGAAGATCCTTTAGTATTCGAAGGGAGAAATAAGGATGGCTTAGTATAGGGGGGTAGCAGGGACCTTAAGGACAATCAAAACCTGGACATTTTGAAGGTAGAGCCAACAAGTTGTGATAAAGGAACAGACATGGGGTAAATGTGGGTATCAGCCTTAGCAACTGGAAATACAGAGCTGCCATTTATTGAGATGGTAAAGACTGCAGAAGAAACAAGTTTATTAAGGAAATTTGGGGAGAAGAGGAGACATTGATTACAATTTATGAAAAAGGTTAAATACCTCACTTTGGAAGTTACAGGATTCCAAACTCTTCAAATGTAATCACAGTAAGAAAAATCACAATATCGATTTCTAAGTTTCATCCATCAGAAGCAATATCTTTCATCAAATTGAGTCTCAACTAACCCTCATTGCTTCTCACAAATACATACTTTTCAAAATGGCATTTATCATTAATTTCATCCATTGGTCAATATTTTACATATTGAAGCAAGCATCTGATCCTTCATTGAGTATTTATTAAACACTTTTTTGAAATTATATTACATGCTTCTGCAAAAGGCCTGCATATTAAATTTTAAATTCACAGGGTTTACCTGAAGTTCTTTGTATCTATCTTGAAAAGAAATGGCCTCTTGCTCTTTTTCTTTAAGGAAATCTTTTTCTAAGACACTATGCTTTTCCATCAATGATTCCACATCCTAAAAGAAAAATCCAAGCATAAATTGTATAATATTTGATGGCATAAAATATATTCAGTTTTTTCAATGAACACACCAGAAAATATTTGGTAAGGAAAGCACTTACAGGAAGTATGGTTTAAAGCTCAACACTATTACAGATTGTATGGCCCACTCTCATTTCCAGACCTATATTAACATTGATATAACACTAAAATTATTCACACTAATAAATGAATAGCATCTAAACTAACTGTAATCAGCACAAACTATCTCTACATATCTACATATATTTTCTATAAATTTGCAAATTATAGATATATTTATAGGAAAGAGAAATGAGAACATAAATAAATAATTTACCAAAACAGCTATATATCTAAGTACTCTTGTCAAATATCCCATGCTGCCTAACTTCCCATAGGGACAAGTCAATGTTACAGTATAAGAAATACAACACTACCTGTTTTCAAAGTAAATAAAAATAAATCAGAAGAAAAGCATTAGAGGAAAAAATTTGGTAGCAGATGTTCATCTTTAAAAGTAAGTATCTAAGACTAGCCATTGCTTATCAAAGACTTTTCTAAATGATAAATTCACAAAACTAATTTAAATCTATAGCCAAGGGAAGACAGCATCTTCTTCCACTCATGAGTTTTTAATCAGATTAGGATTATATCAAATTTCGAGTCTATGCAACTCAAACATTTATTTTTTTAGGCAAATGCAAATATACCTTTTTAATTCTCTGTTTTTCTTCTTCAGAAACTTTGAGCTTAATCTCCAGACTTGAAATTTTCTGCTGAAGCTGTATGTTTGATACATTGGCTCCAGGATCCTCAGAATCATCCACAAGAGCAATTGTTCCATTACTTTTCTCATCATTTAAACCCAATGGAAAAAGTGAGATATCCAGATGAGTGTGTGTTGATTGCTGAATCTAAACCACATTAAAAAAAAAAAAAAAATACACAAGAGGGGAAAGTTTACACTGTACCAATAATGAAAACATCCAAAGGGCACCAGAAACCACATTTGGAAATTAAGTTGTAGCAAAGGTTCTGAAATTATTTCACCCTTTAAGTAAATCAACAGAAGACCTCAAACTGTTACAACAACCTGATTTTTGCAGCTAAGAACAAAATTCCCTCTAAACTTTAGAGTCTAAAGCATTTATTATTTTGCAAGCAAAGCACTAAAAAACTTAAAACATTTTCTTATGCTTGAAAGCATATAATTAAGTATAGACACATCTGATACTCACCAGTTCTTAAATTTATACAAACATCCAGAATTTGTGTTTTTAAATTATAAATCAGAATTTGAAATTTATTAATAACCACTAATTGATCATCAATCACTCTCTATTAATAACCACTAATTGATCATCAATCACTCACTCAAAGATAACAGGTGACTCAAGATTGTGTACTGTACTTTGGAAATCTGGACTAATTGCAGCATCTAGCCCAATGCCTGGATTAATAAATATTTGAATGAATAAACCCAATGACTGCTATCTTTTTGGTTTTTACTCTAAAATTAAAATGAACACTCTAATACCTAAAAAAACAGGTTAAGCTTCCCTGAAAAGAGAAATAATTATTTTTTTGTAATTATTTTTTCTTTTGAAGTTTTGAAGATTTGAAACGCAAAGCTAAGACAATTTTAATAAATGATACACTTAAACTGTATTTTGGTAACTACGGCTACTTAAAAACTTTGCAATTATGCCACAAAACAAACATATTATTCAGTTTTTTGAATTCCAGATATTAGTCTCAAAGTTAAAATATCTACAAAAATACTTCTTTCATAAAAATAAGTAAAAAAAAAAAATCAATCCGAAAAGCTTTATTTAAACCTCTAATTTTTTAAGTCTGTAAGCTTCTTATAAAAATACACTTGTCTTTACCTGTGCTTTAGGAACAGTTTGACTGACAATGCTGCTGTCTGTGTGTGTATTTTCTGGTGATGAAATGATGGGCTCAGAAGAGAGGCAGCCAACTGAAGTAGCATGGTCATGGTCCAGTACTCCAGATACTAAAGAAAAAATAAATAAATGAAGGATTATCCAAGAGAAAGTCAAGAATAGGTTGAAAGGAAGAAAGAGAGTAGAGGAAAGGGAAGAGAAAAGGGTAAGGGAAGTAAAAGCAATGAAACAAAATGAAGATTCTATGACTATTCCTCGGGGACCATTATCTAAAATCTAAAACTAGTATTTCTAAATTTATCATGACATTTCCACGAGACCCAGACAACAAAACAGTTTACTAATGTCATAGTGTTTACATAATAACACATTACCATAAGTAGTGAATTTCCAACTGAGAGAAAGCATTCAAATATATTATCCATTTATTCAGTTAAGAAAAAGCACTAGCATGCCTACCAATGCCCGCCACAGGCACTAAGCATGGAGAAGAGACAGTGAACAAGACAGATGTACCTTATGACCCAGAGGCAAGTCAACTCAATGAAATATGTATTACAATAAACTGAGTTAAGAGGAAGAATAACTACTTTAAAATAGCTAATCCACGGCGCCTGGGTGGCTCAGTCGGTTAAGTGTCTGACTCTTGATTTCAACTAAGATCATGATCTCAGGGTCATGAGATCAAGCCCCACATCCAGTTCAACGATCCACAGGAAGTCTGCTTGAGAGTCTCTCTTTCCCTCTCCCTCTGCCCCTATGCCCCCACCACACATGCTCTCTCTCTCTCAAATAAATAAAATCTTTAAAAAAATAAAATAGCTAATCCAACTGCCTCTGTATTAACTTCTTCTTTTGTAACAAGCAAAAGAATTTTCATGTTAAGATCAATTTTAGTTTGCTGAATTGTTTCTACAAGAAAGTAATGTTGAAATAGAATCCTATAATTAGTTTGACAACAAATTATTATTAGATTATGATTAGGTTCAAATACAAAGGTCATGAAAAGAAAGCTGACTGCTAAGATGAAATAAGACAAAAATACCGATAAGGGCAAAATAAAAAGATTATACGTATTATTACTATATTCTCAAATTTCTTTCTAAAAATTCAAATATATTTGAATTATGTGTTTTAAAGTTTAAGAAGAGTAAATCATTTTTAGCAGTAATCTCTTTCTATGTTTTGGCTTTCTAAATTATAAAGACCTTTATTCCACATTGGCATCAGTAGCAACGTCAGCGAAGTTCTACCATGAATTCTGGAAGGCAGCTCACAATGGAAATTGCATTTTTCCCTAAAGAAAGACATTTATAAGGTAATTAGGTATTTAAAAACTAAGGAATATATCAATTTCTGATTGGCACCCTATGGGATCATTCAATTATCTCACATACACTATTATGTTGCAATACCGAGTTTTTAAGATACTATGTGCCATACTGGATAAGGTATTCTACCTTGTTCCACAAGCATGTCACTATTTTAACTAAAATACAGAAAACTGGAATTTCAATTCATATTTGTACTTGATATATCTTTCCCAGAAATATTTTTTTTCTAATCTTCACTATTCTGTATGCTAACATATTTCTTTAAAATGTCAAAATAGTCTACTTCTAATTCTGAATTATAATTTATAATAAAAATATTCCTAATGAACTTTTAAAGGCATGAAAATGAGTACTATTATACAGTAAGAGGGAATAAGGCTTGTAATTAACAGCATAGACTCTAGACCCATAGTGTCATACCAGGTGTAAAACGATCGGCAAGTTTAACTTCCCTTAGTTTCCTTGCCTGTAAAATTGGCATAGAGTTGCTGATGAGACTTAAATTGACTAAAATATGTAAAACATTTAGCACTGTGCTGATACCATTTTCATTATTACTTCAAAGATCATTAAAATTTGTTGGACAATTATGTTTATTTCTGGGCATAAAAGGTATGTGTGACTATGATCCCGGGTTCAAGAAACTCTTAAAAATACCATTCTGATCTGGGGTGCCTGGGCGGCTCAGTCAGTTGAGCATCTGCCTTTGGCTCGGGTCATGGTCCCACAGCGTGCTGGGATCCAGCCCCACGGCAGGCTCCCTGCTCAGCGGGGATGCTTCTCCCTTTCCCTCTGCCCCTCTCCTTGCTTGTATGCTCTCTCTCTCTCTCTCTCTCTAATAAATAAATAAAAATCTTTTTAAAAATATCATTCTGATCTAATACCTGAACATTTTTAAATCTCTTTATATGTCACTCATATTTATAGCTATAATCTAAGACATCATATTGTCCCAAGTTAAATTCTCATCCTATAACATTAAATGGTCAAGTACATCAGAAGGAAAAGTAGGTAGAATAATGGAAGGGAGGGGATGTAGGAGGAAAGAAAGGAAAGCAATACATAAGGAAAGAGGAAGGGAGAGGTTGAGGGAGGAAAGTAGGAAAAGGGGGACCTCACACTTGTGACCGCAACCTCATATTTCCACGAGCTACTGCCACCCTATCACACTTTCCCTTTATAACCAAATTTCTTGTCTCCAAATGATTTGTTTCCATTTTTTTTCTTCCTCTCCCACCCCTCATCACTCCAGTGGACCCATCATTTAAGATATTAATTTTCCTTTCAGTTACTATTAATCAAATGAACACGTCTTACTTGATCATTCTTTCTTTAGTTCTCAGGAGCACTTGCTACTAGTGCCCCTCCTTGTTCCTGAACCTCCTCCGTTGGCACTTGCAATACCATTATCTCCTAGATTTCCTCCTAACAGTTTGACTATTTTGTCCTTGTTTTCTTTTCAGATTCTTTCTCCACTCAATCTTAAGTTTCATTGTTCCCAATGTCCACTTCCCAATATCCACATTATTACCACTTTGAAAATCCATTATTTAGATTATGACCTGTAAGCTAATGACACCTAAATTCACATCTCTAAGCACCAACCACGTGCAGACCTCCAGATCCATATACTCAACTTTAACTACCAGACAGTTCCATTTAGGCTGTCTAGCAGGTATGTCAAACTTACCCATTATCTTACATAAAGCTGCCTTGCTTCATGTTTTCCATCTTAGTTAATAGTACCCCAAAGAACTATTTGCCAAGCCAGAAATTAAGTGCCAACCTCACTCCAGTCACACTTTGTTACTAACAGTTCTAATTATGCCATACAGTTCAATACCTCTATGACCTCACAATATACTGCCTAAGTAAAAGTTATAGGTGTGGAGTCAAAAATGGATTCAAATTTAAACAGTAACAATTTACTCGTCATGCAGACTTGGACAAATTACATAAACCCCTCTAAGCCATTGTTTCTTCTTCTGAAAATGGGGAAATAATGTGTAGCTCAGAACAAAGCTATACAGCTTAGCTCAGATGATGTATATAATCACTTCATTGTACCAGACAGGTACATGGTAAATATTCAGTAAATGGAAGTTGCCACTGAAATTATCATTTGTCAACATTCAAAACAAGCTTATCCAGGAATCTTTTCACCTGCTCCATTACCACCCAACCATAATATAATTTAAATGTCCCACTATCAACATATGACAGAATTTCTAAGAAATAACTATAATTAAAACATTATATATAATAATGGGATACAAATAAAGCAATGACTAGGAAAAAATCTATAGTCTTGAACACTTCAATCCATTTTTTAAAAATCAGTGAATTAAATTCCCAGGTCATAAACTAAAAAGAAACAGTAAAGAAAATTTAAAAAGCACAATAAAGAAAACAAAGATAATGCAGACAGAAGTAGATTAAGAAGAAAAGTAAATCTAATTAATCTATCTAATTTCTAAAAAAAATCCTGAATTTCTAAAAAGAATAAAAATAGTACTTAATTAATTAAAAATAAAAAAGGGGAAGTACAAATACACAAATTAAATGACCAGGCGAAAATAAAACAAAACAATTTTTTAGTAATAAAACTCCTTTGTAGACTTCTAAGTAAATTTGAAAAATCTAGATAAAATAAGCAATTTTCCACAGAAATACAGCTTATATAAGTTGTTCTGATTAGAGCTAAAAACAAAACAAAACAAAACAAAAACACTCAAAAATAGAACAACTGCCTTGGGGAAAAAAGTTAGGCACCTACCCCACAAGTAAAGCACTCAAGAAAATTTCTACCAAAAACTCAAAGAATGGATAATCCAATGCTCTAAAATTGTTGCTGAACATTGAAAGTAAAGGAAAATGTCAAAATGTCATTAACATTACATAACATTAACACAACACTGATAGCTAAGCTTGATAAAGACAGTACAAAAAGAATCATTAGAGATTTTTAGAGTATCACTTATAAATAATGACAAAGTTGTAAATAAAATATTAGTAAAAAAATTCCACTACCATATTGAGAGAATGACATGCAACGAACAAGTCAGATTTGTTCTAGTAATGCAAGGCTGGTTCACTATAAAGGAATTCTTTAACAAAAATTTCCATATTAATATATTGGAAGAGAAAAATTATATGATTATTTCCAAGACTCTGAAAATGCTTCTGACAAAAACTGAATACCCATGTCTGTAAAAAACACTTTAAACAGGAATTGATGGACACTTTCTTAACATGATATAGGCCTTAGTCCTAAAGTCAGCTAAACAACTAAAGTTGTTTCCTATATGAATAGGAGCAAAACAAGGATGACTACTATCTCCATGCCACTGAACATTCCACTAAAGGCATGAGCCAAGGTGTTAGACAAGAGAAATTAAACAGAAGCATAAAAATAGGAAAAGGAGGAAAACTATTTCATGTCCCTACTAACTAAAATAATACATACATTCAGTAAAGGAGCAGGATATAAACTTAAACACAGCATACAGAAAATAGCATTTACTTGTAAAAACATTAACCATTTAGAGTATATAATGGTACAGAAGAATACTATTTTCCATAGCAACAATGATAAAATAGTTACAAATTTAAGAGGAAATACGACAAAAACATTTAAAACACTTCTAAAAGACTCAAGGATAGACCTGACAAAGGAAAAGATCTCTTGAAGCTGGATAGGGAAACTAAACATCATAAAGATGTCAACCCTCCCTTAGTTAATTTATTAGTCCTAATATAATTCCAATAAAAGTATC